CCCACCATGGGTTGTTGCCTCTTCAATTGCTTATACTATTGTTCTTGAGATCTTGTTATAATTATACTTAATGACTGCTGTTTAGATTCGTTTATCATGAAACCTTATATACACAGGTTATTCACCCGTTTAGTTTGCCATCTCACTTCTATCATCCTCCCTTTCCATTAACTGCCTGTTAACAGGAGGTTTGCCTTCTAGCATAATTTTTTCCTTACACCAGTGTATCTTTATTACATAAATATATATATATATCTCACATTTGGAGTTTTTTGTTAATTTATGCCAGAAGAGTACAGTTTCTATTTTCCCCACTGTTTTTCTTCTCAATGTTTTCAGCATATTGGCTGATCAGCTGTCTTTTGATCAATACTGAGATTAAATGGAATCATATATTTCACCAATTTATTTTTATTCCTGTGCTGAATAGTCCATCTATTCACTTCTAAATATTTTCAGTTTTGATGGTTCAAATTAGAGGGAATGTTCACAACTTATTAAATATGCATTTTTCTATTATGCTCATACTTTAAAGAGATCTGTGCACTATTACTTATGAGTTGTCCTATCTGCAGTCATTCTGCCACTCAAGAAGTAATTTCTCAGACATAAGCTCCACTCAGGTACTTGTACTGAGGAACTGACTGAAGCAGATAGGAGTGCAGAATTCAGGGACAGTACTCATTCATGTACATAGATACACTTATACTACTGCAGCCTGTATCTATGGCCAAGCTAAAGGTCTTTGGAGAATTAATGTTTCAGTGCCCCACATCTCCAAGAAACAATCCCCTAAATGAAGGAAGAATGCCTTCACTTGGCATCTTCTAAAGTTTCAATCTTTTTTTGTTATCCTCTCACCTTTTGTGTATGCAAAAGGCAAACAAAATGAAACTCTTCTCAACCATATTGTCTTGCTCCCTTATAAAATTTTATCTGATTCAGTAAATCCTCAGAAGTTTTAGCAACTACAAGCATATGCAATTTTCTCTTTTACTGATAAATTATGTTTCGTTTTCTTCATGGTATATATCAAAAGTTCAAAGATACTAAACTCTACGTAGATAAAGCCAGAAATAAATTTCTAGGCATAACAACTTTCCAGGCATACACCTCCTTTTGCCCATACACATGCTAGACCACCACATACTGAACTCTTGTTTTGAATGGATGACACCATATTCACACAAGGAGCTTTGCCGCTGTCAGGCTACATGTTGATATCAATGTTGGCTTTCTTACAGTGGGCACTTACTCATGAATTTCAAATATACCGAATGTAATATTATCATAAAGGGACTGCATGTATCCAAGTAAAGATAGTGTATTTAACCCAGTGTTAACCATAAACATATGTATATAGAAATACAGAATTTTCCAGCTCTGCGCAGGCAATAGTAGAGAGCTCGCCATCGCCAGACTGTGGGCAGAGAAATCCTCCTTGGTGCATATTCTCACGTGGCACAGCTGCCTCTGACCTTCACAGGTAAAGGTAAAATGAACCCTCCTATCACCCACATCTTCAAACACCCCAAAAACAATCTGTCAAAATGTAACCCACAGTAAACGGTGTTTCTGAATTAAATTATATCACAGCATAGAGGCAAACTGCCTAAAAACTTTCTCCTCTTCCTGGTGCTGCCATAATGAATGCCCTAAAAGCTGCAGCATTCACATGATTTGTTCTTGATGCCACCATATGCTCATGGAATAGAGAGGGTAAGAGACATAGTTTGACTCTTCACATGCCACGATGAAGAAAATCAATTTCAATGCCCAAGGGAAGAAATTACTGCTAGAGAAGGTCACTCACCACCACAAGTTGTTCCATTATCATGTAGTCTTGGAAGGAATACTACAAAAATTCAGTAAGTGTGGAGTATTAGCTAGTGAGCTATAAATAACCTAGGGTAATGTAAAATGTACATAAAGGAGCTAAACTTTAAACCAGGTAAGATTTGCTTATGAATATCTTTTCTGATAAAGAGTTTAGGTAAAATGCTGTTTGTCTGATGCTGAAGGACAATATTTTTTACACTGCACATACAAAAGATTGTTGATATAATGCCGAGACAACCTCATCTGAAGAAATGCGCAGTCTATCCCATATTCAATTATGTGTAAATGGTTTTGCAAGCAGAAAAGAAACTGGAAGAGAAGCAACAACATAAGAACAGTAAAACATCAATGGTTTCATTCATGCTATATTTAACAAGCACGCACTCAAGTGAGCTAAGGAAGGCACACTCCAGAATGGACATAGTCACTACCCTCACAGAGGAGCTAGATATCCAAAATAAATACTAACATAAATACCAGCTGCTAACAATCATGTGACTAGCCTTAAAAGGGATTTATAGAAGCTCTTTCCTTATAAAAGTCAGGGTCAAATGTGGAAAGCAAAACAGCAAAGTAAAACTGTAATTAGATGGTAAACTGTTATGCCATCCATATACAATTAAATGCTCAGTACTGACAAATGTCACAAATATATTATTAATTTCCAAGTATTTCATCCTTTTTTTTTCTTTAAAGTCCAAGTTGTTGGATAATGTGATCCCTAGGGGAAAAAAACGTAACTTAATCGTTTTCATAATCACATTTTAAAAATTAGTTACTATGAACTCAGCTGCAGAGAAATCAAGATTCCAAATTCACCTTAGCATATAACAAAACAAAAAAGAAATAAGTTTTGAGGCCTTACTCATGACATATGAATGCTTGGTAAAACTGAATATGCTAAATGAAGATTAGAATTATAAGTAAAACTAATCAAAAATTGTTATTCTGTACAGCAGGAAGAGAAAATAAGGACAATGAAAAGACAAAGAAAAAAACCCCTTTGATAAAAACATAAAAAAAAAAAAAATCCCAAGACACAGTATCCATTTCAGTAACATTATTCTTGCTGAAATACCACATGGTATCTGCAATACCTATACAGATACCAGCTCTTTTTAAGGAGGTTTCTTATTAGTACTTTTTCAGTTTCCTGACATCACAGGCTAAAGTACACAGAAACTGAACCACAACGTCATTCTCAAAGATGACAAGAGAGTGGAAGTAAAAGGACATCAGGTGCTCTCTCAATCCTTAGGAGCAGGGAACAAGTCACCAGGGAATATTGGATTAGGTTTTGGAAGCAGCTGGAAAAACATAGGGAAGTCAGCTGGAGATAAAGCTATATGAGGAGACTGAACAGTTTTATTAGTAGGCAAAATGTACCTTTGATTAAAACTACTTTGTGTTTCACTGTTTTTGTGTAATTTAATTATAGCAACACTCTCCACATGATAAAAGCATTGTGAACACTAATAAAGGACAAACTCTGCTGCACAAAAACTTAGTCTAAAGACTGACAAGTTGACAGAATAGAATAGACCTGAAGTTTGTATGTTATAGTTGGAAAGAATCACAGCTTATAGGTAAATCAAGTCCAAACAAACTTCACCCTCTCTCCCTTCACAACACCTAATTACATTCAGTCATTGTTCAAACTGATGCTGAAACAAAGTCCCTTTTGCAATAGGGAAAGGCAAACCATAGACGTCAGCAATATTTTAAACAACACACAAATGAGAAAGAAACCTATAAAATTAACTCAAAAGCCAGTAAACGCCATTTCAGGGAAGTTTACCATCACACTTATGAGTCTTGCCCATAAAAGAACTTCAGAACACAATTTTGGTCCAGATTTACAAGTCTCAGTATGACTTTTAAGATGGTTTCAATGGCATTGCGTATGTGAAGTTTTTATGTACGTATATTTGTCTCCTCATGCAAACACAAATACAGCTTTTGCTTCCATACCTGATAGGAAATGGTAAATATTGAAATTCTGTCCCCTATCAACTTAATTGATACTTGAACATCAACATAATTGATATTTGAACACGTCTGAAAACAAATGAGACTATACTGAGGCTAAGACAAAACACAGTATTTATATAAACTATTTGATAGCATTAAAAATCATATATTTATTTGAACTACACATGTCACATTTTTCTGTAATAGATATTTAAGGTACTAAAGAAGAGATATTTCTGGACATTGTGTTATACAAAACATAATGCCAAGTTCAGTCAAGACTGTGACATAAAATTTGTAACACCATAGCCGGTGGATTCCATGTTATTCTGCTTCTCCTATTTAACATTTTAGTCACTGTACATGTATAGTATGCCTTCTCTTGGGAAATTAACTATTTTTACCATAGTTGCTACCACCAAATGGGGTGCACAAGACACATCAGAGAAGAATCTGTGCATTATGCAACCAACAACACTTTGCAGCTCTACACTTTTTTTCCACTATACATCACATTAAACCAGTGTCCCTGTAGTCCAGTGAGTGTCAAAGTACAACAGGAAAACACAATACCTGACACTAATAGAAGTTTTTGCCAATAGCTGTTCATAACCAGCTATGATTTTTTTATTCCACTCCAGATTAAAATGGAAGCAAACCTAAGAGTTCATCTTGCTTCTGCATTGTATCCTTCAACCAGTATAGTAACACTAACTATACCAGGTGTTAAGAGCAAAATAAAAGTTCAAGAGTCTGTTGACATTTGATATTTTTGATTATTCAAAGTTTCTTTTAAGGTCAACTGAATTGAACCAAAGATTGAAGTCAATGGAACAATATCCATTCAAGAAAGATGTATCAACAGTGACAAAATGATAAATCTGTTATTGAGGTATATTTTTTTTTTCTCTTAATCCTATGCTTATTTTGGTATCATTCACACTCTGACACATCAGCTGACACTGTGTGACCCCTTGTAGTCTTCAAGTAACAAGCAGCAAAGGAAACTTGACTGCTGTAACACTGCAAGTAGATAAACCAGTCATCTAAAGCTTGTGTCATGTAATGCCCCTTTAACGCAGTCAAGCCCAATTCAAGTGACTTCAGATCCATAAAACCCTCTAGAGGCTGATGACACTTCTCAGTAGGAACTCCTGGCTGACAATGGTAAAGCCAAACTCTACACTTACCTCTGTTAGATGTAAACAGCATATATTCGCTTCTGTGGTCACTGAAGCTTTTCACTGTAACTGACAAACACAAAACAAAAACTATTATCTGAAAAACATCACTGCTGCTCTGATGTATGAAAATAAGTGCTTAATATTATTTTTGATACGAAGTATAATGCACCAATCTTACATCTTGGGATACCACCATGCCATACCTCCTTTTATCAAAATTCTTGCATTACATTCATTTGGGGTTTTTGAGCTTAATTTTTTTTTTTCTTAATTTAGCACCATGTCAGTTAACAATATCAATGATATTTTTGTCAGAACAGTAGTAACTACAAGCTTTTAATAAAAAATGACAGAATTTTGAAAGTAAAATTTAACACTGTCATGCATAATAATTTTATAGAACTGGCTTACTCAATTTCAATACTATTTCAATAGAATTTGGCTACAAAACAATCATTTAAATTTTTTATGTGAATCTAAGATGTTATCTTTAGACAGATATCTTTTTGCATATCTGTAGATTCTTGGCCAAAGTTAGAATTAGACCTTAACACTCCTTCCCATTACACTGCCTAATGGTTTTTGTGTTTTGAGATCTACAGCCAGCAAAACCAGACCTGTGGAAACAGGCATACCCACTCAAAGTTTTGGCAGTTTGACACTCTCAAACTGAAACAGGAGATCCTAAAATATAGCGTTTGTTGGTCCCTCCTATAAGAGGACAAAGCCCATCTTGTCATCCTGTAAAGTTTTGTGAGATATAACTCATTTTTGTTGTCCTTAACAGGTGTTGTGAACAACTGGGGGGCAGGGGGGAAAAGGACAAAAAAGCAAATATCAAAACAGCCTATCTTTCAATTCACTTATATGCTGAAATAGAAAGTAGAAGGGAAAGCTCTAGAGAAATTTCAGCTTAGATCATGGTCAGGTATATCCTAGGGAACATAGTCCAAACTCTGTAAGAAGTTACTATCCAGAACAATGAAGTTAGACTACATGTATACTTTTTATCTTCTTAAGTTGGCTTGCTACGCTGTCAGACTGTTCATTTTCTAAGCAAAGATTAATCGTAGCATAGATGTAGTTGGTTCCACTGAGGCAGTACAGCTCTATACTCAGAACTGTATTTAAAGCACAAATACTAATGATATTAAAAAGTAAGTTTTGTCTTTAATCATAATTAGCAGAGGTTGGTGTTTACGTCATTAGGTTCTTCTTCAAATCAGCTGCTCAGCCAGGGAAAGAGACAAAAGTCCTGACTCGCAATAGCCACTGAACAGTATTCCCAAGCAGTTTACAGGACAGCTCAGACTACAGTGAATATATACTTTTGGACACGAGAAAATTAAATCTATACACAAACACTGTGAAATGTATCACTAGAACAATTTCCATCCACGCCTGTAAAAACGGGCCACAAGTTCCTTTTTTCCTTTCAAAGTTAGAACAGTGTTGATTTTTTCTCCAATATATTCATGTGAACAAATATTTCATCTCACAGATTTTACCCCTGTTCGGTCTATGCACATTTTAAATAAATTAAGATGAAATAAATCCATTTTATTGTATTACTCTGTGCCACCTCTATGAAATAACGCTCATCTTTGTATTTTGTAAGGGATGTTGACATGCCTGAAAATGGTGCATGAAGTATAATCTTAGAGGATTGCACTGCTAGAAAAATAAATCTAAGCCTATGTTTCAAGCTCAGAATGGCACCCCTTTTGATTGAAATGCCTCTGAAACATCCATTCCAATACAGCTATGCTGTAAAATTCATACAATTGATCACTAGTGTAGCTGTAACAAAACTAGTGACTAGTAGCTTTGTTTTCTAAACATCTGTTCATCTTTTGCAAGCATAAAACATTCTCATGAAATAAGTTACATACAGTCCTTCAGTTTCAGAAAGGAGAACTGCAAACTCACAGTAGGAAAAATCAGGTTACAAAGAAAGAGAGGTCACACATCACAAACACCACCACCAAAATAATGTTTAGTGTTTATTAACAGCAAAAAACTCTTCTTGTGGGGGAATGCCATTCATCACAGGTCTTAGTCAAATAGTCAAGTAAGTCTGAGGTATGGCATCCCTAACAAATTAGTGATATCTCCTCTCCCGTTTCTTGCCACATTGCTAGATCCAAGGAAACTCCCAAGCTGATGGATTCCCAACAGAACAATGAAAAAGAGTGAGGTATCCTAAAACAATAAAACTGCCTCTTGCAATACCAAAACCAAATGTTTAATGAAAAAAGTAAATGCAATCAGATGAGAAAGAAAAGTCAACTTTAAAGTCTCATTATCTAAAACCAAAGTTAACTGATATCCCCTATCTTTTTGTGATCACAACAACTGAGCTTTGCATAAATCCTCAAAATTTGTGGTAAAACAAGCAACAATAGTTCTCAGTTTCAACCTTAGTGGCACACTGGTAACTCCAGAAATCATCAAAGAGAGGTAATAATAACACCTAGTGAAACGGACAAGAGTATATTTAACTGTCAGCTTCCCAATACCTGAATGAAAAAACTCACTTGGCATTTTATGGCACTAGTTCCACTTCCACTTTGAGTTGTTCTTATCTCTAACCTGAAAAAAAAAAAATTTTATTAATCCAGAATCAGCAAGTTTTCCTTAAAGACAGCATTCTACAACTGCCATTCAGAAAGACATCAGGAGGAGTCATTTTTTCAGCTATGATCAATGCCATTTATATTTTCTTTTATAATGAAAGCACATACATTAAAGTAGGGGGGTAAGTGGGTATGACCATCCTACTAATCAAACACAAGCTACAGAAGAGTTATCTGCTAGATCCACTTGATGAGCAGGCATATAGAAAACCTCGTACCAAAAGGGAAAAGTTACATTTAACACATCTGCTTTCATTATGTCACTAGAACAAAACAGGAACAAAATTAGAGCACCCAAATCAAAATCTCTGTTGTCATTTACAAGCTTAAAATAGGACAATAAGAACCACAAGTTTCATAGAGTGTTCTCATTCAAGATGAAGCAAAGAAGATGGATATATCAAAATTCTGATGAGAGCAACAAGCAACAGGCCATTAAAAACCTGAACAAAAAGCATACTTCATCCTTCTTTCCAACCATGCATATGAGTTACAGTTTATAAATTTGAATTTCCTATTGTTTTTAATTTTTAATCCACATTTTGTGTTAGAAATAGAGTTAAGCTTAATTTCTGATCAGTTCTGCATGACATCACACAACGTGGGTAGTTTTTAAAGTGAAAAAACTTGTGAAAAATGCTCACAAAATACAAGGTTTGAGTGTGGAGTTTTATTCTTATTCATTTGACTACTCAACAGCCAGGCTTCTGATGAAAGCATTAAATATGCAAGAAAAAATATTCCTGTCTGGCTAACAGCATCAGCAAAAACCATTATGCAAATCTCCCATTCCACTTCTACCATATTTTGGACTTTAGGAAGAAAGTGACATTTATTTGTACCAAATCTTATTGCCTATTTGTTCAGAATGCAGGTATGCCAGATCACAAGGGAAACGGCAGTCATCAAGAGCACCTAACTCTCAATTATGAAGACTCTACCACTGTAAATGCAGTGGTCAAATGTATTTTTCTGTTTAATATACATAAATCTCAATCAGGTATATTTAGTCAATGCTTCTGTGGTTTTCAAGTAAGGACATATGGTTGATTAAGTGAGACATGCAGGCCATCAATACCCACATTACTCAGTGAACCCCAAAGGCCATATCACCTTTTAATGTCTAGATTCTTCGTCAAGAACTTGGGTTTATTTAGCAGCTTGATGATTCTAAAGGATTCTGATTTTTTTTACTAGTCCATAACTCATAAAAAAAGTGGACACCTTCAACTCATCACACAACAATTCTCCTCTGTTTTTACTGAATATAGTCCAAATATTGACAAAACAGTATTCTTTGCCTAGGAGTATTTCCATGCAGTGGGTCCAAGAATTATATCCAGACAGCAAGAGACTTTTAGTTTAAAAATCCAGTATTTTGTCTTTCGTCTGCACATCCAGGTCTACAGAAACAGAATTGGCATGTAATATAACTAAACCATGTCTAGAACGTGCTTAAGTGCCAGGACACTCAGTGCCACAAATCAAAAGGCTACTTTATAAATACAAAACTAGGGAAAAAAGATAAGAAATGATACATAGGCAAACTGGTATCTCCAAAGTTACCACAATCAAAGTGTTTAATGTTGGTTTTCCTTTAATAATTTCCCTAGAGCTAACACTCAACAGCTGGCAATATTTTGAATCCTAAAGCCTCTCTTTCTCTTAAGTATACAGTACTCATCATGTACTTCCCCAATGTTAGGAAAGATAATTGCCTATACATCCTACACTTTTTTGGTGACATACAGGATCAGGGACTGTAAGATTTTCCAAGCACTGGCTTCCCTTCAGTTCCTTACTGTAGTCACTGTGGCCAATGCCTGACAGCTTACATCTGCTAATATTGGGTTTGCTTTCTTTTAAAAATACATTTATTGATTGATTTTGACACCAACCGTTCCAATTTAAATTACAGTTCAAGTTGGCATTATATTACATCCTGAATGAAGCCAGGAATATTTCAGTTTTACCATTAACTTCAACAAGGCCATAATTTTAACGAATTATCCTCTAGATTAACCATACAGATGACTATCAGATATCTACAATAAGGAAGGAGGATTTTTCTCAGTAGCAGCTAGTTAACTAAGAATTTTGATAGTTACACATTGACAGTCACTGGTATGTGTATTTATAAGAGTCTAAACTTATGTCCCGTTGCATGTTTCAAAACAACAGTTTAAAAAGCCAGTAAAACTTCATAAGCCAGTTGGACACTTTTCAAAACTTTCACCGTGAACACTTTGCTTATTGTATATAATGTGTACTAAGAATAAAATGTATCATCTGCAGTGATTTTATTTACTTCTTTACATTTATATAGCAAATTTGAATTCTTTTATTACATTTCAGTCTTGCAAAGTATATTATCCTATTTCATTATCTAGCACATAGGCAAATGTGTCTTATGAACAATACTCTATTATTATAATGAATTATGAATATCTAGTATAAAATTGTCAACATTATAAAATAATATAAAAGTAACTGCACAGTCAAATGTCTACTACAAAAGAATGGAGTTTAACACATCTTCATTCTAAAGTTTGTCAATGAGAACTTAATGTTTCAATAAAAAAGTGTGCTTCCATTATCTCATTAGACTTTATTACTCAGTCAAAAAATGGAGCAGTAGCAATCCACTGATGTAGATATGGTCCAATGAACATTTATATTTGAACAATGGATTCCAATACTTACAATTTTGAAAGCTACAGAATGACTATGTTTTAGATATGTTACTTCTTTGAAGTAAGCATTAAATATTTGTTTTCATTCAGATTATTTTCAGATTTTAAGTGTTACACACAAAAGAACAGCAAAACTGCTATAGTTATATTGACCTAATGTTAAATGCTTGGAGTTTTGCAATTTATTTTAAAACCTTTGATTACAAGGCAGAAATGCAGATTTTCACAATCTTCTGTTATAAAAATTATTCAAAAGTTTATGGAATACAGGCATAAAATACAAAGTTACTGATGAAAAAGACGTTCCTACACAGGTTTAAAATGTAAGGTTGCAATTTACTTTAGAGAATGATTGTATCCTCTCCTTTGGTAGATCAAATCAAGTCCTTCAGATCTGACTCTCACAAAACTCTTAAACATCCTAATCTCAATAGTCATGACTGTCGACTCTCCTCAATATTTCTTCTCATTTCCTTCTGCTGAAACCAGACTAGATCTTTTAATCTTGTTTCCTCCTACCACCCAGAGTCATCACCATTTACAGCACTAACATCATTCTTCATAAACTCTGTTTATATTACTCAAAAGCAACAATCAATTATGATAGTCCTCATTTATTTGTAGGAAATAAGTAAAAGAATAAATAAATCTGTAGAAAACAGAATAATACTATGTACTCCTAAAATCAAGGGTGCTCAGCCTCTATTAGTTTGAATGACATTTTGTATGTAGGCCACAGTTTCACAGTTAAGAGTCGTGTGTGAAATAAGAAAAGGATAAGTATGATGTGAACAGAACTAACAGGAAAAAGATACAATTATTGAGATGGAGAAAGATATTCATGAGAAATATCTGTATTGCATGAATTTTGAAATAATATTTCAAATATACATTTTATCAAAAAATTATTTATTCTCTGATAATGAATTTCTTGAGAGAGACTTTTATTAATAATGGATGTTCAGATGGAATCAGATACAGTAGGTGGAAATAACACAGAATCATGTCTTGTCAAATGTGTGATTAATTTTGCACTATAAGTATTGATTTGACAGAACACCTTTTTTTTCTTACCTGTTCATAGCCATTTAAGCGTAATGGACTTCTTTATTATCCAAATGTTATTCCTTTGTTTAAGCTTTTCATTTGAAAGCACTTTGATGCATTTATAACTAGTTACCAATTCTCTGGATCTTTATATGTGCATTATGTTCTAAGTTTACTCCTCCTCTTTTCAAGTCTATTAGCGTCAATTAGGCTTGCAAAGACATGCAAGTCTGACAGGCAAACTTTGATAAAATGCTGATAAATGAAACAAAGACAATTCTACAGCATTTGTTTCCAATAAATGACTGCATTTAATAAACATTTCCTTGAATTTTACTTTTTTTTTTTACCATATTAGTGCATATAATTACTTTTATTAATGTCAGAAAACTATTATCCATTGTGATGTACACATCACGTAAGTATCGTTAACAGTTTGCATACATTGGTGAGTTACAGAAATGGTTGGACTTAGGGATAAACTGTACCTTTTAGAGCACAGATAATCAAGAAACATTTCAATACACAACAAAATATCATAAAGTTGTTACTGCATAAGCACCCATATTAGGCAGTAAAAATGGTTTGGTAGTATTTTGTGCTCAGAGTATGCCCTGCAGTCAATTAAAAGAAATAGAATTTGCACCTCTCAATTCCACTGTTCTTCCCAAATAAAAAGTAAAAAATTCTAAGACAGTTTCTCCTGGTTTTACTAAGGTTACATAGTGTATCACTTCACAAATAAACCCATTAACTTCTTCAGTAAGAGCACGATGGAACATATGTGTTATTTAATTTGGTTCTACATAGTCACGGTTATCAGAGTAATTATCCCTCAGATGAACAATTTCCCTCCACCTTTCAAAAAAAAAAAAAAATCATAAAATGATAAATTATTTGTAAAAGTGTTAGAATCTGATCCTGAATTTATGAAGCACTTGGGCAATCGGTAACTAGGTAAGTAATAACTAGTAACTGCAGCTGTTATGCATGTGAAAATACAGCAAAGTAGATGAGAATTCCAGATATAAAATATTGCCTTTGAAAGATACACGCATATGCACTCCAAATAACAATTATTTCTGAATAGGAAATTAAATAATCCTTTATGTAAATAATTCTAAAATTATTTGTTCTGAAACAACCAAAGAAGTAACTGGCTCACAAAACTTTGCAGGCTATTTTAAAATATCTGATTTTTACAATTCACCCTTTT